ATATATATATGAGGTTTTGAGGAAAAAGATTATAATTAGAAAGAAACATGTTACACTTATTATTATTAATTAAATTAAAGGATTTATTAAAAGATTTTAGCTCTGATATAAAATGAGTTATATTAGGTACAGAATTTTTTAACTTTGTTTATGAATGATATTTATTTTCAGAGATCACTGTTATGGATTGTAAATAAAACCTACGCAAACGTCACATAGAAGGCGGAGCTTTTCATTACAGGCAGAAGCGTAGACGAATGAAAACGCGAGCTCGATGATGGTTATTATGATTGACAGCCGTGTCAACCAATCAGTGCCCAGTGTGAAGCGTCCGGTATCCGTCGATGCTGAGGCAAACGGAGAGAAGGAGGGAGGGGTTGGGGGTCAAAGATACGCAGAGAAACGGGCTGCTGGTGGTGAAGATGGCGGATGGGGACAGTGGTAGTGAGCGCGGCGGTAGCAGCGGCGGCGGGGGCGGCGGCGGAGGAAGCGGCGGGTTCCAGCATTACCAGCGGGAACCGGAGACCCAGGAGCTGGCCTCCAAGCGGCTGGACATTCAGAACAAACGCTTCTACCTGGATGTGAAGCAGAACGCCAAAGGCCGGTTCATCAAGATCGCCGAAGTCGGCGCTGGGGGCTCGAAAAGTCGCCTGACCCTCTCCATGTCGGTTGCGGCCGAGTTCCGCGACTATCTGGGGGATTTTATAGAGCACTACGCTCAACTGGGGCCTAGCACTCCGGAGCAGATCGCTCAGTCATCCGGCGGCGATGACACCGGGCCTAGACGGGCCTTGAAGAGCGAGTTTCTGGTGCGCGAGAACCGCAAATACTACCTCGACCTGAAGGAGAACCAGCGGGGCCGCTTCCTCCGGATCCGGCAGACCGTCAACCGAGGCCCCGGCTTCGGCGTCGGGGTGGGCGGCATCCCCGGGGCCGGCCTGCAGTCCGGGCAGACCATCGCGCTGCCGGCCCAGGGTCTCATAGAGTTCCGCGACGCCCTGGCCAAGCTCATAGACGACTACGGCGGGGACGAGGAGGAGCTGGCCGGCGGCGGAGGGCCCGGCGGCTACAGCGAGCTCCCGGAGGGCACGTCGATCATGGTGGACTCCAAGCGCTTCTTCTTCGACGTGGGCTCCAACAAGTACGGCGTGTTCCTGCGGGTGAGCGAGGTCAAGCCCAGCTACAGAAACTCTATCACCATCCCCTTCAAGGCGTGGAGCAAGTTCGGCGGAGCGTTCAGCCGCTACGCCGAGGAGATGAAGGAGATCCAGGAGCGGCACCGGGACAAGATGTACGAGCGGCGGACCGGGGACGAGTCCGAGGGGGACGACGTGGACGACGATTGACGCGGAGCGGCTGAAGGTGTTTGTTTTAGTGATCGAAGCTGATTCAGAGGCTGCAAACAAACAGGAGGATTTTTGTGCATGACGAAGAGAACCGTAAAAATGCTAAATCAACGGAGTAAAACAACAACAACAAAAGTATATTTGACTGAGAAATTCCTGTTTATGTAAGAGAATCCTGTTTAAAGTTTAGGTGGATGTTGTAGGTAACTTGAGTGCAGACTGCAGCAGTCAGCCTCTGTATGAGATCCCCTCTGATAAAAGTAAATATTTAATATATCTAGTTATATAAACTTATATTTAGATTGTCCATAACCTCACGTAGCCCCGGAAAGTTAAAGGTACTCATTGCAAACATCATGATAATAAAAGGTGCAATTTGAGAGTTCACCATATGCAATTCAAAAACGCGGGTCCGCACTCAATGTAAACAACGCATTTTTTGAGTTTTTTTTGCATCTAATTGTGGGTTAATTTTGCTTAAGTTTTTATTTAAAGAGGAAAAAAGTGGATTTTAATTTTTGCGTTAATGCAATGAGTACCTTTAAGTTTGGCAGCCGTAGTGCTCCTGTGTGATACCGCTCAGCGCTGACCTGTACCGTGTGTGACGACGACGAGTGTGTGACGACGACGAGTGTGTGACGACGACGACGAGTGTGTGACGACGAGGAGTGTGTGACGACGACGAGTGTGTGACGTACTCCAACCAGCAGCTGCAGAGAGTGGATGTGTGAGGAAGAACGCTGGCATCGTTTGTGTTTTTGTCTAAAGTGATCTGTAACAAACGGCTCGTCCAGGCGGACCCTCGGACTCACGGTCTCATCTACGTTAGGTGGGTGGGGGGGCATCCTCCTCCCGGCCCGGCGGGGTCCGAGGTTATCTGTCACAAGCACACGACTCGTTTGGATTCGCTGCACGATCCAAATCAGTCCAAACGACCCTCCTGAGCGTCCCCCCCCCCCCCCCCCAGGGTGAGACCTGCTCACGTGTGGCTTCGTTGTGTCTCAGGGCTGGGAGAAAAATAATCCCATCTACATTCTGGGGACTTCTCAGCGTTCTTCTACCCCGTGCCTCTCCTTCCTCCGGCTGCTCCAGTTGCTGCAGCCGAGTGTCGTCCGTGGCAACTGATGTCGTCTCCTGAGACACACGGGGGGGCCGCGTTTGACCCGCGTGACCTTCCTGTCGAGAAGGGGTTCGCAGCGAGGCGTAGACCCCCCCTATCGCACTGGTCACAACTTTCAAAGAAACGTTAAAGCTAAATATTGCCGGGCTTGAGCTCAAACCTCAAGGATTTCCTTGCTGACTTGTTTAGGGTGCATCATTTGGATCCTTGAATCTTGAACTTACGACTGAAGCAACGTTCAGTCTGATTGTAACAAATCAAATAAAAATAGGTGCTTCTGGGAAAGAAAAACCCACAATGGGGTGTTGTATCTAAAAGATATCTATATAAATATATGTATATGTATACTGGAAGAGATTTACTAACTAAAAAAAATCAAATAGATAGAAATATTTTTAAAAAGAAATATATATGTCTTTAATACGAGACATTTATTAGATAATGCCGCCTAAAGTGGCTTATTTAAAAACACTAAACTTGGATGCAACTGTCCAGGGTGATATTTCATACCTGCTTTTTTCCTAATATTTTTTTAATTCTTCGAGGAAATCAAAAGAAGAGTACAACAAATTGATCACGCGGTATATCTTACAGCAATTTCTCGAGGCAACTTCATGGAAGTCGGCAAAAAAAATAAAAATAACACTCAGCACTCCTGGTCACTTTAGAGCTTCAGGTTGTCTCCTTGTTTCAGTCCACCACGCCTTTTTAAACCACGTTAACCGCGCTTTCCATCAGTTGCCATAACGACGCAAACGTTAACTCAGCATCGCAGTTTTAATGCTCCTTTAAAAAAAACAAACAAGTCATTTCTGCATGCGTGCTCTGCCGCAGAGCTGTTCTTTTTCTTTCTGCATATTCTGATTGCTGTATGATGGTATTTATCCATTTTCTTTTTAGAGTGGTTTCAAGTTTGATTTCTGTGTTGCAATAGACAAAAGAAAGTTTACCTCTCAGCCTAATAATGATAATAATAAGAGTTAGCCACAGCGTTACCATGTTTTCGAGGGAAAAAGTCACATTTCATCGTCCGCCTTCCCTTCAGTGTAAACCTGTCGTTGGATTTTACTTTACCCACTTCAACGCAGCAGAGTAACGCCATATGAAAAAAACAAAAAAACCTGGGAGCAATAGTTTTTTTTTTTTCTATTGATATGAATATATATAAATATATGACGACACATGAGATTGAACTACATCCTCCTTCTTGTACTGTGTTACGTGAAATGGCAGCTGTTTCAGTCGTGTGTTCTGCTGTAATATTCTACCAAGATCCTTTCAACGAGAAATAAAAAAAAAAGTTTTTGCTCACGAGAGTTGTGCTTTTTATCCTGGTAACTCAGCCGCCGCGCCCAGTTTGACCTGCTGGTGGAGGTGTGGCCTCTTCTTTAGCTGTTTAAGGCTAATTAGAGGTAGATCAAGTCCAAAAACATTTACAGTTTATAATTATTTCCTGTAAATTTTATACCAGGGGTGGGCAGTCCTGGTCCTGGTGGGCCGCAGCCCTGCTTGTTGCTTCTCTGCTCCAACACACCTGATATGATTGGATGATTATCAGGTTTCTTGCAGTACGGAGGACCAAAACTGACATAATTAGAAATAAAAGCAGAATTATATAAATGAACCACCAAATAAATACATTTAAAATGTACCAATTAAAATAACAAAGGAGAACTTTATCTCATGTTTTTTGTTTGAAATGACTTGAATATTTATTTTTCCAGGTTAGTTTACAAATTTTAACATGTAATTTAAATTTTACTGTTTTTTTAACATACATATTTTATTGTTAATCCTTTAAATTCTACATG